TTTTTTTTTTTTTTTTTTACAAATAAATATAATCATCTCCCCATTAGTATAGAGGCACCAAGAAGTTGTTGATTTTACGGGGTCAGACAAAGTATTCTGGATTTGATCTAACATGCAAAAAATGTAAAAAGAAAGGAAATTCTTTAATGCCTATACAGAGTAAAAGTCACTCCAGCACAAAAGGACCAACATGTATTTGCAACCCCAAACTCTTTCAATATTGAGCTACACAGTCTTTAACTCAAGCTGTTAAGTCATATAAAAACTACAACCCACTTTGTCTACACCAGGATTTTACTTTAGGTTAATAGCACATCTTTCTTTTCTAATGAAGATGAGATCATTATATGTTTTTATCACTAATAAGGAATCTTTCCATCAATTTCAGTGTTCTCTTCCTGGCTCATGCTTTTGACGGGCAGTTTTGGGTGTTTTTTAATAATGGTGAAGATAACAAGAAAATATGAGAAACTTAGATATTTCCTTACTTATCTTACAATCCATCTGAAATATATATTTGTGCACAGAATTCAAGCTGCTTTCCAAATTCCTATGATTTATTTTATATAAACGAGTTATATTACTGCACCAGAAGGTACTCCCATCTTGAATGGTGTGAGCTCTTTCTAAGCAAAATGACAATTTTATGGAAACTTACTTTGCTCTTGTAACAGAAACAGCAGCTGGTCCAGAACTACTGAGTTGCGAAAGCTCAGAAAGATCAGCAGTGTTTATTTGAGGCACTTTATTTTGATCAGTTTCTTCATGTCCCTTCAAAGAAATGCACATGTAGGTTTAAAGATTAGAGTATATTTGAACATATTTCCAGAGAAGTTGAGAAGTCTAGATTTAAATAAACCAACACTTACAATTTTCTCCATAATGAATATCATACTACTCCCATTCCAGAAATTTTCAACAGGACTTTTACAACCCTCACCAATAAAATGTACTTGGTCATCACTCTGACAAAAGAAAAGAAAAACTTTGTTAACATGCTTTGTAACATTTGGGTCACATTCAGGAGACACTTTTTATTAAAAGACTGCATTACACTATAAAATATTTTCTTCTCCAGTTACAACCATGAATTAATCCAGGCTTTTCTCACCTCGAGAGAAAATCGCAAAACTTCATCTCAAATGCAAAATACCGCACCATGAGCACATGATGTCTGCACTCTAATTCATATTTGATACTGATTTCTAGAAGGAAAGTTTAATTTGATCCATAAAAGCCACAAAGCATGGGACCCGAGAGAATAACCTCTTCTTACGGAATATTCTTGCAATTGCAGTCTGTGGTAACATTAAGCTGGAAACCCCTTGGCAAAAGGGCTACTCATAAGAATTGCTCCATAAAGGGACAGCATACTTGGGAATTAATTCCCAGAGGACAAATTCCCAAATACCAAAAGCTATTCTTTTTTTCAAGGTGTGCAGCATATTAGACATTCTTGCTCAGGCTCTTGAGTGTGAATGAAAAAAGGAACCTAAAAAAACTGGTTTTGCATTATGGCAGGGTACTGTACAATTTGTCTAGTCAGTTATTTATATTACTATTTTTTTTAAACATCAAACTTGCCTTGATCCAACAATTACATTCTTTCCTCCTACACACTCGGCTTTGTTATAAAATGTAAAACAATCATCTATAGAGCTTTAGAATTTTTTTACATAAGATAAAAGTACTTACCTCAAAGGGAAATGGATCTTTGAGGATACCTTGCTTTCCTTCAGTATAAATTCTGAAAAATAAATGATATATTTACTTTTTTCCTACCCAGATACTACATTCATCTGTAAAAATAAGCCTCAAATATCAGTGTAATATATTGGACGCTGTTACCTTCTATATATGACAAAGACCACTCAGTTTGAAGTGTCATCTTTGAAGCTGATACTCTCTGCAACTTTTTAAATCAGCAGGTTTAGCTAATTTAAGAACCTGCAAAGTTTCACATTTAACTCCTGCCAGAGTCTCCCTGACCATTTCTGTGGTTTCACAGTCATAGCCCCTGGATCCTGCAGACCCCTGCTAGAGTTAACGGTTCTCCGGTTTGGAAAATCTAGACAATGTATTTCCATTCTTTCAAAATGTTTTTCTTTGTCTTGTTGTACACAAGATGCAAACAAAGCAGCAATATAACAATAAATAAATAAATAGATGACAGGTGAATTCAACAAACAGAAAATATAAAAAAAATCCTATTATTCACCAATCTCTCATCTACATTAAACTTAAGCATTACTTGCAATGATAGCAAGTAACTGATCAGATGGAAGAACAGTATTTGACAGATAGCACCCCTTTAAACGCTCATCTTGAAAGATCCCAGTGTACTTTACAGGCAGTGTGTCTACACATCACTGAGCTACACCTGGAAGGCAAAAGCAAAAGTACTAAGTATCTAAATGGGTGAACTTTGTTCTTGATCAAAACAGGTTTCAGATCTCATCCGAAATGCCAAGGCATCTGAACAGAGAAAAAACAGCATTCATTCTATTCAGGGTCTCCTTCCACACCCATTTGTGTTATCAGAACATCTAAAATATTATCTTAGGTAATTTATTTGATATTACAAGATGCCAGTCGGATAGGATGCAGATCCTAAAATACAGTAGAAGACTGCAAACATCCTATTAGGCCTCCCTAAGACTTGCGCTTTTGGACCCACTGTAACTATGATTGCTATTTAACTTGAGTGAACTAATGCAACTGTACCTCCTAATGTGTAACCTGTGTCACAGGGTACTCAACATTTCTTTTTTGTGATACCCTGCTCTATGGGCAGTCTGCCCAGCTCTTGCCCACCATGCCTTGATGTTAGTTATTATACAGAATGCGGACAGCTGCCCTGGTCTTATTACAATGACCACCCGGATTGTAATCCCGGCCTTATGGGCCAATTCCATGGCTCCGTACCTTCCCTATACCATGCCCCATGCCTTGCAGATGGCATCCTGACTGATGTTCTACCACTTGCTGATACAGCCCCTCTTTGGGCCTTCTGACCCCTTGGCCTCTCTCAGCCCCACTCCGGGTCTCAGACCTCTCGGCCTCTCCACACAGCCCCTTCCTGGGCTGCCAGACCCCTCGGTCTCCCTCTCAGCCCCACTTGGGTTTCCAGACCCCTTGGTCCCTCCTCTGGCTGCTCTCTGAGCTCTCACACCTCTCAGTCTTGCACAACCACTCCCTGGGCTACCAGGCTCATAGGTCTCTCTCTTGGCCCCTCTCCAGGCCACCAGCACCATTCTGCCCTCTTGTCCTGGACCCTTTTAATTTTCCACTTTCCCGGCCACTCTCCAAGCCCTCGGACCCCTCTGGTCCTGCACTCTATCCCCCGGCCCCTTGCTGGGCCACTGAACCCACGTGGTCCTGGTCTTCCTTGCCAACTGCTTTTCTGTTGGGGTGTGCTCCCCTAGCTTTCCCCTTCCATAGGGTAACCCACAAAGCAGTGGGAGCTGAGGTTTTCTGGTGCTCCATCCTTGCCTTTCCCTGCAGCAGCCCATGCGTGGCATTTCATGGAGACCACCCCACTACAGGCAGCCTCACCACACTAACCAGCACCAGTAGGGCAAAGTTTCAGGTCTAAGGGGAGCCCAGAAAGGGACAAGTAAGATCAGATAGGCCTGAAGACTGGTCCTGAAGATAGGCCAGGACCAGTCTTCAGGCCTATCTGATCTTACTTGTCCCTTTCTGGGCTCCCCTTAGATGTCCTATGCCTCTTCTGAGCTGCTAGCTACCAGGACCCCTGGCCCTGGCTACATCTCCCATCCGAAACCTCCATCTCTGGCCCCCAGATCACTCTCAGACCCTTTTCCTCTACTGCTCCCCCTCAGATGACCTAGCACCAGCCATCATCATACTGCGCTGCATGCCCCTTGACCCTTTCCTCTCAGCTATGGCCACATAAGGACCATCCAGCCTCTCCTGGGCTCTGGCCCCATCTCATGCCCATCAAGAACTCCAGGCTTTCCCAGCTCTGGCAGTCTCTATTTCACCCTTTGGCTCCTCCTGGGCCTTGGCCCCAAATAGGCCAGTTGAAATTCCCAGGGTCAGTCCTCTGGCTGTGAGCCCTCCATCTCTGTGGGTCCACCCTCTTGGGCCCCTCCATAGATTGCTCCCTCTCTCTGGGCATGCTGAGAGCCCTCCATAGGTCTTCCCCAACACAGCCCCTTGCCTTCTGGGCTCATCCAGACCCCTCAATAGCCACCCCACTCACTGGGTCCCCCCAGACCCTTCACTAGGTCTTCCAAAGATTCAGCCCCCCACTCAGGGCTCACCTGGCCCCTCAACAGGCCCCTGTGCACTCAGCCCCCTTCTCAGGGCTCTGGACCCCCACATTATGTCCCCCAGGAACCTCCTCTATCCCCTTAGTTCCTACACAAACCTCCAGATGTTTTTCTCCTTGCTGGCATTGAGGAGCACCAGCCTTCCTGCTGACTGATGCTGCCTCACCAGCTCCCAGCCAGCCCAACAGCCTTGCCTACCGGCCCCCGTGTGTCAGGTGACTCTGTAATTAGAGTGTAGAGCTGGCGGTGATCCACGGTATGGAAATAGACCGGCTTCATATCCCCCAGCCTGCTCAGGTGGTGAGGAGGACAGCACTGCAGGGCCTGCCGCAACAAATACCTATAATGAGCTCCAGTGGGCTGGGGGACATTGGGGTGTGGGGGAGGCCGGACTGCCCTCACACAGATCCTCATGGATGTAGATGAGGGCAGTGGCAGGCAGGGCAGCCTTAACCTCCTGGAGTAGGTAGCAGGGCGCATGCAAAGTGGACACCTCCATGCACCAGGCGAGCACAGCAGAATCTGCCCAGCCCTGCTTGGCATAGTCCAGGAGGTCCTTGATACAAGTGATGGGGGCCAGGACCATCCTCTGGTGCACCTAGGGTACCTCTGTTGCTGGCACCACCAGCTGTGGATTTCTCAGCAGGGGCTCAGCAATGCAGTCAGCACCCTGGGCAACCATCCCTGGGAACATGGAGACCAGCCTCCAGGCCCTGAGGAGGCCCTGGTAAAACCCAGCAGCTCTCCCAGGTCCCACGGGGGAAGCCCTCACAGGTGGAAGAGCTGCTAGTCATATCAGATCCCCTGAAGGCAGTGGAGGAAGGCGTGCCCCAAGTGACTCCATACCGTGTGGCTACCAGCACCATAGAGGAGTCTCTGCAGGGCCTGGATGGTTTGGATAGGGATGATCTTGCCTCAGGCAGGCAGTTGAACCAGATGACCTCTGGAGGTCCCTTCCAGTCTGACTTCTCTATATTTTTGGGGGGAAGGGGCATCTGTAGCTATTGGTCATGGGAGTGAGAGGCACAGCATCTGAACCAGACCTTAAATGCAAGAACTGAGAGGAACAGTGGGAAAATCCCCTGTTCAGACCCAGTTCACTCTCCCTCTCTGCTGCTTTGTGACATAGGGCCTTTGGGTTCAACAGCTTTTTTAGGTTTCTCCTAAAAGGCTCAACCACTCAACCCATACACAGTGTGGGCCTGATGCTTCAGGGTGTACACCATGTCCACAACTAGGAATCTACCCAAATCACACTTGAAGTGCACTGTGCAACGGCTCCTTTAATCTTGTTCTTTTAATCGCACTGACTGGAGAAGGGCCCCCAGCAGCCCCACTGCTTGCCGCTTGCTCCTGATCAGCTGAGAGGCAAAAACCACTGTTTTGAATATGCCATGGTTTTTGCCTCCCAACTGATCAGCAGTGAGCGGCAGAGCTGCCGGGGCCCCTCTGCCAATCCGTGGAAGGAGGCAAAAACCTCAGCATATTTAAAACCGCCATTTTGGCCTCCAAGCCAATCAGGAGCAAGCATCAAGGCCACTGAGCCTCTCCACTAATTGATGGCGGGAGAGGCCTGCGGAAAAAGGATGATTAAAAGAGCCGTTGTACAGCATGCTTCCAGCACCATTCAGGTCAGAGGTGAACAATTATTTTTGGCTTAATGAGTTTTGGTGAGTTGTCAAGGGCCGCAACGGTAGCCCTGCCCTTGACAGGTGCCCTGCTCCTGGTCACCATCTTGGGACTCGAAGTCCTGCTCCTAACCCCTGACCTTTGCCACCACAAGTCCCTCCCCTTGCCCCCAAAAGTACTCCTTTTGGGAAGAGGGGCTTGCCATCCCGGAACTGGAAAAAAAACTAAATCACATACTAAAAATCAAACATGTATTATAACATATTTTATTCCAAAAGATATTTTTGTCCTTATTTACGTGTGTGTTTGTGTAGTGTATATAGAGGTGATCGCAAAATAGCTCAAAGTAAAGTCTTACTCCTGTAAGTTGTGTCTAGAGGACGGTTGGGAGACTGGATACATGTGTGTGGGGGAGGGGGTCATGTGGGTATGTGGGGGGTGTTGCCTGTGGAAGGGGGTGGTCTGTGATTGTGTTGGGGGGTGGAGGTTCAGTGTGGGGTGCAATTGTGTGTAGAGGGGAAGACTGTCTGGAAGCGGGGTGCATGTAGGGGGTGTTTGGTTGTGATTGTGTGTGGAAGGGGGCAACTGGGGGAGTGTGAATGTGTGTGGGGAGGAAGATGCATGTGGAAGAGTGGGGTGTGGGGGGTGTGAGCGTGTGGGGTGTGATTGTGTAGGGAAGGAGGATGGGTGTGGGG